TTTAAGTTTAGGTATTGGGTAGGATTAAGGATGTAGAATATGGTCATGCACAATGTGAGCTTTATAAGTACTAATAAATAGTCAATATGTTAATAATAGCATGCTAATAAGCAACTAGTTAATAGCGAGAACTGGTCCCTATGCTAAAGTGTTACAATCTTTACTATTTTAATAACAAGCTCATCTTTGTGTCTTTTGCAGGATAATTGCATGTCAGGGTTTGCCGTTGATAAGTGGGCAGAACTGCGATCCATATGCTACAGTAACACTCGTAGGGCCCGCCAGGTGGGTTTATAAACATTAAGTCAAATTGAAGGTGCCCTAAAATCACAAGGTTTACAGTAAAGGAACAGATGTTTGCATAAAACATGATGGTTTCTAATGAAGTCAATACTTCAACAGTCAAAATATTCTATTGTGATTGTTTCTAAATCAGTCAGTCATAAGACAGTTTCAGCCTCTGTTTCTGATCTAGGCAGAAATGAGTACATAACATCCGCTCTGATTCAATAATAACATCCTGCTCTCTGTCTTTCTGTTTCTCTCTCTCTCTCTCTCTCTCAGGTCTGACCAGAAAAAAACTAAAGTGAAGAAGAAAACCAGTGACCCTCAGTTTGATGAGACATTTCATTTTGAGGTACAGCCTCATCCATTTATTGAATATTAGTTAATGAATGTTGATTTGGTGACTCTAAATTGTTTCTTAACCTCTCAAACCAGGGCTGTATGGGGGACAAGTCCCCCTCCACAGTAATTAGAAATGGACAAATTGTCCCTCCCAGTATTTGAAATTCTCACTGTTCTACTGTACTCCATTACGCAGTGCTCTGTTAGTTAGGATGACGAAATGTTTAAAAGTTACATTTTTAGGCTGCTCTGCCTCAGCGGTCTAACAACGCTCGTCAATGTCGAAATGATTGAGATGGCCAATCAAAGTCAAAGTAAGCAGGTTTACTCTTCACAGAAGCAGAGCACAAATTCCAGCATGAAGTGTCAGTTTTAACGTTGAAAGAGAGGGTGGTGAGATTAAAGCAGTGAAACATTTAATATTTGACAACTTTTGTAACATTACAAATGTTAAACAACTGACAGTAATATTAAACTATTCAACTTGTTTCTCAAATATGACAGTTTTCATTAAAAATATAGTATATTAGGTATACAAATAAATGCATGTGCATATTTAGAAATATTACAAAGAGTTCAAAATGATTACTTACCAACTAGAACTAGACCTAGAATTTTCATTTATTTCCTTGCTTTATTAAAAATGGTATGAGACATGGTTACAGTCTTGCCTTAAACAACTGATTAATGTATCTTGTCACATGCATCTGTAGCGTTAGCCATAAGTTCACAATTCACAATGTTTTGGCAGGTCACAAGGTCAAGCAGTTACAAAGGGAGGTCACATTTTCATGTGGAGGAGGAGGACATAGAGAAACTAGAGATCAAGTGAGTCCTCTTCGCTTCTCTTCTCTTCTCTTCTCTTCGTTTTGTTTTTTCCTTTGCTCTGCTATGCTTTGTTTTTGACCTTTTGACTTTTGTTTAAAGTCTTTTTTAAACAGCATATAACTGTACAAACCGACTTTTTGTGGATGAATATGGTAATCGGGGATGAATGCTTATTTACCTTTTGACTTTTGTTTAAAGTCTTTTTTTAAACAGCATATAACTGTACAAACCGACTTTTTGTGGATGAATATGGTAATCGGGGTAATCCGTGTATCATTCGATCATTCGTTTTTTGATTTAATATTGAAAGTAGAAAAATGAGAAAACGGCTCCTTTTTCGT